AACTTGACATGGACATGGCTTAAGATGGGAACTATCAAGAAAGAAATGGAAGGTTTAATACTGGCTGCTCCAGAACAAGCACTACAAACTAATGCCATAAAAGCAAAGATACAAAAATCCACTGACAATCCAAACTGCCTACTTTGCAACAACAAAGTCGAAACTGTTTCACATTTAATATGTGAATGCAGCAAAATTGCACAAACTGAGTACAAAGCTAGATACGACTGAATTGCTAAATTAATCCACTGGTCATTATGTTAAAAATACAACTTAGCTGTATCCAAAAAGTCATGGGAGCAAAATGGAAAAAGTTACTGAAAATGAGAAGGTGAAGATTTTGTGGGACTTTTGAATACAGACAAATAATCATTTGGAACAAAACACTCAAGATATCATGATTGTAGAATGCCAAAGCATACAGTTTATTGATATCAGTGTACCAGGAGATGCCAGGGTCGAAGAAAAATACTAGAAAAAAACATGAAATATCATGACCTGGCCATCGAAACTACGTAGCTATGGATGAAATATGTAACAGTGATGTCCAGTGTCATTGGGGCACTTTCCTGGTACCATGTCCAGGAATTTTACAAAACACATAAAGAAATTGCAGCTTCCTGCAATAACACAAGCGGATCTACAAAAACTGCGCTACTAGGAACATCATATATTTTAAGAAGATACTTGGTTGATATCCAGGACGCTGGCATCAACCCGTATCAACCATTAGCATCAGTTAATGGTATTTGTAACACATCTTTAAATGTTCACTTGACTGAGTTTCATGTTTAATGAATAAAAGAGGTAATAATAATAATAAACAACCAGATCTGTCAACATCTAGAAATGAGTAAAGTAATAACTAGAAGTCAGCATGGATTTGTTAAAAACAGATCATTCCAAACCAATCTTATTTTATTCAACATTGTGACTAAATTAGTAGACCAGTGATTCAACAAAGCACTGACAAAGTACACCACATACCTACTTCTTGCTAAGCTAGAAAAAAGTGGGATAAATAGCATCACCATCAGATGGATTTGTAGCTGGCTGACAAACTGTACTCAATGAGTAGTTCTTAATCTTTACTACATCCACATGGAGAGAAGTAAGCAATGGGATACCACAAGGTTATAAGGTTATAAGATTATAAGGTTATAAGGTTATAAGGTTTATTGCATTTATATGCCGCCCTATTCCCAGAGGGACTCAGGGCGGCTAACAAACCCAAGGGTGGGGGGGGTAAACAAGAAGGGAATACAACAAACAAGGTACAAAGAGAATTTAAAAAGACAGTCAACAGTCACACAATTCGAGGGGGGAAGGGAACTCATCAACCCCAGGCCTGCCAGCATAGCCAGGTTTTAATGGCTTTGCGGAAAGCCTGGAGAGA